TTATATCCTCTTCTCCCCAATCCAGTCTCCAAGATCCACTTTGGGTACTGGAGAGCCGGGAGCAGGGACTCCCCTCTCTGAGGTTGCCACTTCCCCCCGCCCCCCGCCCCCTGGATGTCATGCCAAGTGAGGTCAAGCTCCCCCATCCCCTACCACTCAGCTTCTGCAGATTGGCTAGCCGCCATCCCAGCACTGGGGGGCACCAGTTGGCGGTACTGGCCAGTTATAACTCCCACCTCAGCCCCTGGGGGGTTCTGTCTCCTGCTGCCCCTTTGAGCGGGTCCCTCAACCACACTGCCTGTGGGGTACCTTGCAGTGCTTCTCTCCGAGGAACTCGGGGGTCTGGCCAGGCTCTGAGTCTCCCTGTCAGTCCCTGGGAGGGGACAGCCCCAGGAAGTTGGGGGGGGGGAGAGCCTGGCGCATCTACCCCATGGCTTCCAGGTCCATCTAGAGGCCTGGGTGGGCCTGCATGAGCTGTGTGACCTCCACAGGGCATCTTCTCTTGTCCAGCCTCAGTTTCCTCTCGGGCTCAGGCAGGGGCAGCTGCCCCCCCCCATCCTTTCCCCTTCCCCCCCCCCCCCCCCCCCGTTCCTGTGGGTGTGCCCTGTCCTCTAGGTGCCTATTAGCCTGGGCTGGGTTCAGGGTCAAGGGCGCTTCATAAAACACACACGAGTAGTGCGTTGGGGGATGGGGTGGGAGTCAGGGTTTCCGACCTACTTGGGAAGGAGAAGGGGCCCAGGCAGTTCCCCACAAGGAGCATCCATCCTGGGGTGCTCCTGGTGCCCCCTGCCTCCTTCAGTACCCTCTGGTACCCCTGCCCTCGCCCTGAGAAGGACACAGGGTGCCCAGGCTTGGAGCAGACCCCACCTGGCCGGGACTTCCAGCTCCGCTGTTCACCCTGGGGCTGGCAACCAGGGCAGGACAGGCTGGAACAGGGAACCGTGCACGGGGGAGAGCCTGGGAGAGGATGGGGCAAGCAGGGACAGAATGTGACCACTGACAGGAGGGGTCAGGAGCCCCAGCATCTCTTTCTGGCCAGGCAACAGTGTTTGCAGAGACCAGCATCCTAGGACAGGTCATTGGTTACAGTGTTGGCATCCACTGTGGGGGCGGGGAAGACTGGAGTTAGATATCAGAGATCTTGGAGTAAAATGTGGTCATGGGTCTGCAGTGACTGGGGGAGGGCGTCCTGCATGGGGCCAGGATGATACTGAGAACAGCCAGTTCAGGCAGAGATTAAAGCTGGGTGAGGAGCTACAGCTCCGCAGTCAAACCTTGAGGCACAGACCCTGAGTTCGATTCCTGGCACTGAACAAAAACAGGGCTGGGGGCAGAGCTAGTATGGTGGGGAGGGCATTTGCCTGGTACAGGACCAATTGGGTTCGATCCTCGGCACCATGTGTATGTTCCCCCCGCGCCCTGCCAGGAGTAAGCCCTGAGCGGAGGAGGGTCCGAGCATAGTACGGGGCTTGCCTGGCACAGCCGACCCAGGTTCAGTCCCCAGAACCCCAATATGGTCCCCCAAGCCCACCAAGAGCAGGCCCCAGTAACGTTTAGTTTTGGGGCCACACCTGGCAATGCTCAGGACTTACTCCTGGCGCTACACTCAGAGCATTGCCAGGTGTGGCCCCAAAACTAATAATAATAAGAACAATAATAATAAATCGAAAGAGTAGTTGGTGGGGCGGGAGCGATAGCACAGCGGGTAGGGAGTTTGCCTTGCACGTGGCCGACCCGGGTTCAATTCCCAGCATCCCATATGGTCCCCTGAGCACCACCAGGAGTGATTCCTGAGTGCATGAGCCAGGAGTAACCCCTGAGCATTGCTGGGTGTGACCCAAAAAGCAAAAAGAAAGAAAAAAGAAAAAGAGTAGTCGAGGGTAGACTGCGGTCAGGCTGGAGGCTATGGGGTCGGGGCTTTCGCTTTGAGATGTGTCTGTGGACTGAGGATTGGGGGACCTGGGTTGGGCAGGGAGCACTGGTGTGGCCTTCGCTGGAACCCAGAGCTCAGACCTCACCCCCCTTCTCCTCCCCAGCATGGCACCCTGGGCAGCAGCCGCTCCTCGGACAAAGGGCCCTCCTGGTCTAGCCGCTCCCTGGGCGCCCGCTGCCGCAACTCCATCGCCTCCTGTCCTGAGGAACAGCCCCACGTGGGCAACTACCGCCTGCTGAGGACCATCGGCAAAGGCAACTTCGCCAAAGTGAAGCTGGCGCGGCACATCCTCACGGGCCGGGAGGTGAGCGCGCGTGTGAGTGGTGGGTGGGTGGGTGGGTGGGTGGGGCTGGAGGGCTGGGGCAAGCATTGCCCCAGTGGCGGGCCCAAGCATTTGCAGAACATCCTCAGCAGAAGAATCCAGTTCCGACAGCCCTGAAATCTCAGACCCCCGGCAGCACCATGCGCGATAGTATAGTGGGGAGTGAGCCTGCCTGGCTCACGGGTTCGATGCTGTGGGGGGAAGAAAGGGGTTGAGGCCTGAGCTCTGGTGTTCCTGGCCCACCCCAGGTCACCCATCTCTCGCTCCAGAGACACCTCTCAAAGCGGGTTCAATCCCCGGCACCACATGTATGATCCCTCAAGCCCTGCCAGGAGGAAGCTCTGAGGTACCTCAGCCCAGGGTGTGATGCTTAGAACACTGTCTGGGCCTCGAGCCCGTCAGGAGCGATCCCTGAGCGCTGTGGCCAGAATAAGCCCTGAGCATTGTTGTGGGTCACCCCAAAACCAACAAAACACAGCACGTGACTTGTATGTCAGTGGCCTTCCCGTCGTGGACTTGGGTGTCAGCAAACCTTCCAGCGATTTTCGGGAAACCTGGGAGGCCATAGGAGCTCCCGCACACTGCATGCGGGGGCTCACAGAGCCGCGGCCCAGCGCGGGTTTGGCTACAGAGTTGCAGAAAGAGCAGACACTTGTAACCTATTCTAACCTACAGCAGCGCGCGGGGCGTGGCCCGCCTGGGAAGGACACGCCCCCGCCGGGATAGACACGCCCCCGCCCTGCCCCCTCGCCTATATCTATGACCACCTCCAGTGGTTTTATGGGCAAATACTCCGAACAGTTTCAGCTTCCCGCCAGTGCGCCCAGGGCCCGAGGAAGGCGGCTGGCAGGATTTGGGGTTACCCGCTGCTGAACGCACTTGAGGGCGAGGTGACACACAGTGAGGTCACCGCGGCATCTGCGCCAGGGAGGGCATCGCCCCGGGGACGGCCGTGGCACACCGGGGATCAGAGCCATCCGCCTGCAGAGAGAGTTGGGCTTCTCCCCAGAATGCTTCCTTCCCTTCAGATTGACAATTAATTCATCGGCTTCCCCGCACTTCCAGATTCCAGGAGCCGAGCCATATGAGCGGCTCCATACTGGCGTGAACCGTGGCTGGCAGCAGCGAAACCCCCCCCCCCCCCTCCGCGGGAGGAGAGCAGAGGGACCCCTCCCCCTCCAAGAACGCGTCATTCCCTGCTGTGGGTCTGAACCGGATTTCAGGGCCTTGTGGGAGGACCCCCCTCTCCCCTCCCCCAACCGTGGGAGAATTCTGTTTTTGGCAGTGGGGCCCGCTGCTGGTAGTGCTCAGGGACCAGGGTTGGGGATTGAACCTGGGGCTCTCAGGCAAAGCATGTGCATTAGCCCTCTGGACCATCTCCTGAGCCCTCTGCTTTGAGGGAAGGGAAAGAGGCAGAGTCCGCAGTGTTTTGGGGGCCTTTTTGGTTTTTTTTTTTGCCTTTGGGGGCACACCCAGCAATGCTCAGGGATTACTCCTGGCTCTGCACTCAGGAATTACTCCTGGCAGTGGTTGAGGGACCATGTGGGATGCCGAGGACTGAACGCGGGTCAGCCGCGTGCAAGGCAAACACCCTACCCACTGTACTATGGCTCTGGCCCCATTGGGGGGGGGGGGCGCCGGCATTTGATGCCAGGGATCAAACCCAGACATCTTCCACCCAGCACACACACTCCAGCCCTTCATCCAGCTCTTTAGCTAGGAAGAATTTCTTTTGAGATGGGAAGGAGAGGGTGGGTTTGGGCCGCACTCGGCAGTGCTTGCGGTTTACTCCTGTCTGTGCTCAGGGATAACTTCTGGTGGGGCTTGGGGGACCCTCTGCAGTGTTGGATATTAACCCAGAGTCACTTGCGTGCTAGGCCAGTGCCTTAAACCGTGCACTATCTCTCTGACCCCCAGTCAGGGAGAATTCTTTCATGTAGAATATGTGGGAGTCGCTGGAGGGGGCCCCGCACCCCCCCTCCACACACACACACACACACACACACACACACACACCACACACACACACTGCAGTACTCTGCCCAGGGGTCAGTTTTCAAAATAAAACTGGGAAGATCCAGGTAAAGGAATTCAGGAACATTTGGACTCTTCAGAGCCTTTCAAACTGGTTGTGTTTCAGAGGTCAGAGGGCCGCCTGGGGGCCTGAGCAACAGCACAGTGAGTCAGGCAGTTACCTTGCACGTGGCTTTCCTGGGTTCCATCCCCAGCTCCTCATATGGCCTCCTGAGCCCACCGAGAGTGATCCCTGAGCTCAGAGCCAGGACTAAGCCCTGAGCACTGGAGGTGTGGCCCCAAAACAAGATAGATCACAGCCCGGAAACTTCCCAGCCATGTAACTGGCTGAGAGGCTGAATGCTTTTGTGCCTCGGATTTGGGACTGGTTGGTTTGGCTGTGCCGGGGATGGATCTAGGGTCTCCCGCAGGGAAGGCCGGCCTCGACCCTGGCACATGTGCCTCAGTGTCCCTATTTGTCATGGGGGTAATAATTATACCATTCACCTCTGGGTCTAGTGAGGACTGAGTTCTCTTCAGAGACTGGAGAGAACCTGAGAGGGGTGAGTGCAGGCAGGAGGCCAGGGTGTGATCCCCACCAGCACGGTGGTCATCAGAGCAGTGCTGGAGTGACCTCTGAGTACAGAATCGTGAGCACTGCCCGGCATCGTCCAAAAACCCATCTTCCTGATGTTTCCCCACCCTCAAGGAACAAAAAAGCATTGTCTGCTGATACTTACCCGGCAGGGGAGAAACCACGATCCCGAAGGTGGTTTTTCCAGGGCGAGGCTTCCCCATTGCACTCCGGGTGTGCTGAGCCCTGCGATTTCCCCAACAGGGAGACTCGACTACATGATTTGTGGTAGTGGGGTCTGCGTTCAAGCTCTGTTCTGATTTAAAAAAAATGAAAATGGATTGTCTGGGGCTGGGGAAATGGCTCGAGAGATAGAGCTCAGGCCCAGGTGTCCAAGGCCCTGAGGTCATCCTGGGCCGCATAGCCCCTGAGCACTGCTGCGTTTGGCCCCTGGAAGCAGTCGAGTTTTGGGGCTGGGGAGCTGGCTTTGTGTGCAGGAGCCCCAAGCCCCAATTCCGTCCCTGGCATTGCATGATCCCCCAAGCACCCCGGGACTGTTCCCAGAGCTCTGAGCAGGAAGGCGCCCCTGAGCACTGCAGGGTGTGGTCCAGAAATAAACAATCCAAGAGTCCTTTGTAACACCAAGACCGGGCCGAGTGGGGTGCTGCCTGTGGATATTAGCCAAGGTTCTGCCATCCACACAGCAGGGCTGGAGGGGTGAGCAGAGATAGTGCAAGGCCCCTCAAGTTCTTGGCCACCAATGCAGCCTGTGCAAAGGTCCTGAGGCTGATTTCTTCTCTGCTCAGACTGAGTCTCTGTGGGCAAGGACAGAACCAAGATGTTCAGGCATCTGGAATGAGGGCACCTGCCTCAGCTGCAAGCCGGGGCTTCCTTGACCACCTGCCCATTTTCTCCCTCCAGGTTGCCATCAAGATCATCGACAAAACCCAGCTGAACCCAAGCAGCCTGCAGAAGGTGAGGCCGGGAGAGGCAGCTGGGCAGGGCTGGACAGGGCTGGGGAGAAGTTTCTGGAAAGTGTCCCTCTTCCCCTTTCTCTTCTCTCCAGCTCTTCCGAGAGGTTCGCATCATGAAGGGCCTGAACCACCCCAACATCGGTGAGGAGGGGCAGGGGGCCAGCTGCCAGCCCGGAGTGTGACCCCCTGCCCTGCCACCTCCCGGGCCTTCCTCGACCCCCCTGCCTCTCCCCTCCCCCCAGCGTGATTCCTTATGAAGCGCTCCCCCTGGCAGGCAGTGCTGAGGCTCTTAGGGCTGCATGACCTCGGGCTGCCCACGGACTATCTCGGACCCTCAGTCTCCTCCTCTGGAGTGGGCCAGGGTCCTGGGCATGTGCCAGTGCGGGAGGGGAGGGGGGAACAGGAGCAGGCTCGGTGCCTTGAGGGGCTGAGAGCTGCCCCAGGGGCTGGTTATTGTCCTTGTTGGTGTCTCATTGTCCTGGGTTGGGGGAGGGTGGAAAGCACCAGCCCCCTCCCCCCCACCCATGGTTGCTGCCTTTTCCTTGGCTGAATATTCTAGGGGAGGGATGCGGAGTGCCGGGCTCTGCGCGGGGAGTGTGGGAACACATGCTCCTGGAGACAGAAAGCGGGCATCCTGGGAAGCAGCCGGTGGGGCACTGGGAAGGGCTGGCCTGAGAGTTGGAGGGCGAGGTCTTGCCCTCCCAGAGTCACGTGGTATTCTCACGGGAGGACTGGCCCTGAGCGGGCAAGGACTGCGCCCGGGTGACCCCGCCCCCACCCCCTTTGCAGTGAAGCTCTTCGAGGTGATTGAGACCGAGAAGACGCTGTACCTGGTGATGGAGTATGCCAGTGCCGGTGAGGGGCGCCCGCACCCCCTCCCCCTCCTCGCTTCCGGCCCTGACCCCTACCCCGCCCTGACCCCTCGTCCTCTCCTCCCTCTCCCTCCCTTTCCCAGCCCTGCTGCCCCCCACCACCCGCCCCTGCTCCCCCATCCCTGGGCCTAGTCCCCACGCCCCCTAACCCTGGCCCTGACCCCCTGCCTGCTCCCTCCCTGCAGGAGAAGTGTTCGACTACCTCGTGTCCCATGGCCGCATGAAGGAGAAGGAAGCGCGGGCCAAATTCCGACAGGTCAGGGCCTGGCCGGGGACAGGGGCTGCCCCCTGGACACACTCTGGGTGGTGGGGCTGCTGTGTGCTCCAGGAGTGGGGGGAGCAGCAGTGTGAGGGGTGACAGCAGGAGCGAGGCTCTGAGGGTGTGAGGGTCAGGGCTGTCCCCAGGTTAGTAAGGGTCACTGGCACACAGACCAGGGAATGGGGAGAAATTGGTGGGTGGGACCCAGTATCTGGGGGAGATGGGTGTGGGTGAGGGGTGAGGGGGCCTAGAGTGGACATGGCAGTTGTGACGGGCCCAGGAGTGAGAGGCTCGCTGTGTCTGTGTTTGCAAGGGCGCCAGTCCAGCACGGATGGGTTTAGGGGTCCAGTCTGTGACAGTGCCATGGGGCCTCCACTTGAGCCTTGAGCCGGGGGGGGGGGGGGTGGGAGGGCAGGGAGGGAAGGGGTCACTGTCTTTGACTCCCCACTCCCCGCAGATCGTTTCGGCCGTGCACTACTGTCACCAGAAGAACATCGTGCACCGGGATCTGAAGGTGAGTCCCTGTCAGTTGCCCAACCCCACCACAGCCCCCTCCCCCACAGCCCTCCAGGACTCCCGGGGACCCCCAGCAGCAGCCCCAGCTGCCCTCACTGGCTTTTGTAGCAAATACAGTGGCAGCTGGTGGGGTCAGGAGGAGGGGTTGAAAGGGCAGGAAACAGTGGCCAGGCTGGGTCAGACCCTCACGGGCAGCACACAGGGCCTTGGCACTGGCACTGCAGCACCCTCAGGAATCGACTCCAGGGTGCCGTTCTTGGTTTGCCTGGACAGGGTGGAGGGTATTGTCTGTTGGGCTGGGTATCACACCCAGGGCCCTGCAGGTGCAGGCTCAGGCTCCACCCAGCATCACTGAATTCGGGCAGAACCCAGAGGTGTGGCCTGGCCCCAGGGAGCTGCCCCGAGGGCCCCCTTTCTTGTGCCCGGGTATAGCAGGGGGTCCCTACGCCCACCCCCAGGAGAGAAGGCCAAATGCAGCCCCAAAGAATTCCAAACAAAGAGCTGTGCAAAATGCCAGCCCAGGCATTTCACGAGTCAGGTCTAAAACTCGCTCTACTTCCTGGTTCACGCAGCTGTGGAAGTTTCTAGACCTTCCCTGTTGTCTGGGCGGCCCCGCAGGAAGCCCCTGGCAGGTTGTTTGCTCCGCATCCGGCCCGCCTCCTGCCGCAGGACCGGGAGGGGCGCGCCCCCTGGTGGAAAGTCGTGGAAGTGGCGGGAACGGAAGGAGCAGGGCTGGTGCCGCACCTCAGCCACCAACCCAGATATGAGGCTTGGGGTTGGACCTCTGAGTTGCCCCCCCTCCCCCGCCCCCCAGCAGGGTGTGCCGTCCTTACCGTGTGGTTCAGGGGTCACCTCTCTGAAGTGTGTGCATGGCTCGGAGGGTGCCTGGGAATGTCCCTTGTCACTAGCAACATTTCCAACGGTTGGGTTTTTTGTTTTTTTTTTTCTTTTTGGGTCACACCTGGCGACGCTCAGAGGTTACTCCTGGCTCTGCATTCAGGAATTACTCCTGGCGGTGCTCGGATGGGATGCTGGGAATCAAACCTGGGTGGGCTGTGTGCAAGGCAAATGCCCTACCCAGCTGTACTATAGTGCCAGCCCCAGGTTGGGTTTTTGTATGGATTTGCCATCGTGAAAACCTGAGGCAGAGGCAGAGGGATGCAACAGGGGCCAAGGCGCTTGCCTTGCAAGCCGCCAGCCCCATGTAAGCCCTGGTACCCCAAGCATAGCACAGACCCAGCGGCCCCCTGAACGCTGCATACAGGTAGCACCACATGCTCGAACCCCAGCACTGACCTGCTGGCCCAGCTGGTGAGAGTTCACCAGGCCCAGGGCTGCCTGAGTCCCCACCCATATGACTCCTCCCAAAGCTGGAGAGGACGACTGGGTTATTGTCCCTGCTTTGCATGTGAGAGTCCTGGGTTCAACCCTTGGCTCCACATGGTCCCCAGAGCATGGCTGGGAACAACCCGGAAGTAATGCCAAGATGACCACCCCCCCACGACCCCCGCAAAAAGCTGGAAAGGGCCAGAGCCATAGTACAGCAGGCAGGGTGCTTGCCTCGTGTGCTGGGTGTGCCTCCCCCCCACCCAAAAGCAGCAAAGGTGCCTTATGGTCAGTAGCGCCCACCTGACCCCAAGGCACCCCCGCACATCCCGCATCGTCGCCTGGGGGCCAAGCCGTGGGTCCCACCATCTGCCCCTTCTCTTCGCTTCCAGGCTGAGAACCTCTTGCTGGATGCTGAGGCCAACATCAAGATCGCCGACTTCGGCTTCAGCAATGAGTTCACGCTGGGCTCCAAGCTGGACACGTTCTGTGGGAGCCCCCCGTACGCCGCCCCGGAACTCTTCCAGGGCAAGAAGTACGACGGGCCGGAGGTGGACATCTGGAGTCTGGGGGTCATTCTGTACACCCTGGTCAGCGGCTCGCTGCCCTTCGACGGCCACAACCTCAAGGTACTGGGTGGGGCTATGGGGGGTGCTAGGGGGCTTGCCCTCCACCAGGAGACCCCCAGCCTCCTGCACCCCACTCCCACAGAGAGCTGGACAGTGCCAGGGGAGAGAGGGGGGCCCAGTTCCTAGCTTCCTCCTGAGGGTCCTTCTCTGCACTTCCTTATGTTTTGGGTCATACCTGGTGATGCTCAGGGGCTACTCCTGGTTCTGCGCTCAGGGATCTCTCCTGGCAGTGCTTGGGGGACCCTGTGGGAGACCAGGGATGGAGCCCAGGTCGGCCGTGTGTTCTGCTGCCCCGGACCTCCTGGCGCTGCTGTGCTGACAGGCCCACACGGAGGCTGCGCCATGTAGGTGTGATTCACTGACAGGACGGCCCACTAGCCCCGCCTCGCTCCCTGAGCAGCACCCAGTATATGGGGTGCCCCCAACGGGCTCTGTCTAGGCTTGATAGATAGATAGGTGTGACTGAAGGGGGCTTGGACCCCCCTGTGTCCCCACCAGCTGCACAAGTTCACAGCATGGACATTCTGAGAGAAGGGGGACTTGGAGGCCAGGGAGATGGTCCAGTGGCTGGCACTCAGGCTTCTCTTGCAGGAAATGATCTTGTGCCCAGCATGAGCCCCAGGCGTGATGTCCAGAGCACCCCGACCCCCACTGCCCTCCCCAGTACAGCTGGGTGTGGCCCAAAGCCCTGGGGACTCCAGAGGCATCCCTTCCCTCATGGGTCAACATCCCAGGCAGTAAAG